GTTGTCTTTTTTTTTCTCTTTCCGCTTCTCATTTTCTGCGTCATTTGTTATTTTACTCGAGATATACGCATATACAACTCCTTGTTGCACAATTTTTTTCTTGCCTCTCCCTCTTGCGTCAGAAGAAAAATGTCTCATTGTTTTCTCGTGGTGAACCATGCCTTTGTTGTATAACGCGATGCAGTTACGGTATATTTGTCAAATAATTTTCATCCTCGAGCAAACATTTAATAATAATCTAATAATACAGATATACGGATGTAAGGATATAAAAAAGTATATTCATTGCATGAAATATATTTCTCGGGTTTTTTTATTTTATTATATTTTCTCATGAGGTACATCCTTTTAAATATTGGAAAAATAAGTTAAATAAAGATATAATGTTATTATATGGTTGTGTCGCGATATAATAAGTGAATGCTCCGCGCAAAGGATTCGAGTGCAGACGTAGCTATACATTGCATTCGAGTGTGCTTTACCTTCAAAACGCAGTTTCGTGCTCAATGCGAACAATTGAGGATCTTCCTTTTATAGGATTTCTTAGTGCCGTTTGAAGTGAAGCAAATACAGCAATGGCACGTTCGCGTGCAGGTGGAATTCGGAAGTATGATATTAAAATCCTAAGTAGCGCTATGCGCTACGCCCTACTTCCTTTTGCGGCCATTTATATAACGTGGCACTCAAAGCGCGAATGCCATTAGATCGTATTTTATGTAAAAACTTCCGAGAGGATGGGCGAATTGTGCAGCTTGCGAATTGTCCTTGTGCGCGTGAGAAAAAAGCGAAGCGGCGCTATGACGAAACCATTGTGCAGTTTCAGCACGTATGACCGAAGATGCATCAAGTTACACTTAGTATAACTTAGACTATTACGACGCAGAATGCATAGAAAGAACACGGACGAAATTGTATGCAGGTTGCGTAGCTTTTAATTTCCGGGAGCTCGCTTAAAAATTTTACTCGCACTTCCCAACGATTTACGATTCACATCAGCAGCTTACCTGTTAATCATTAATAACGACGAATTACGGACGATGTTCAAAACTACTTAAAAACACATTTAAAGTTTATGTGAAGAACGAATTTGTATT